GCTGCAAACTGAGGTTGATATCTCCCATTCGCAAACAAAAGAGAGGTCGATGTTTCCCATTAGTGTTCACTGTTGTTTGGTACTACATCTTAAGGTTGTTCGCTTATTGCCTTCCTCTAAGCTTAATTTAATTGGAGTTGCGCCAATTTAGGAAGGCTTCCGCATCTCTGTCTACCACATCTGTGAAAGTGTGAATCATGTCTTTATGCAATACCTGATATGATGACATGACCTAAATTAGGACTATTGGCTCCTTTACTTGCTCTGGTTTGGTTAAGACTGATGATGCCATGGATGCACATTACTATTAAGTTTAAAAGTTCTGTTAAAACAAGGTGGAAGCATGTTCTTTCTAGCAAATGTTCTAGGCGCTGCCACACTTATATTTTATTTTTCTGTTATTTTCATTGTTGCTGCTCTGTATAACAAATGTACTGCTATCTATCTCATGGTGATCACTAAACTAAGGAGGCTTAACCTGATAATAACTTATTTTATGTTAATAGCCTACAATGTTGTCTTGGAGCTTATTGTCCAAAATAATACCTCTACTTTTTTTGTCCTTCAGGAATGCGTATCCTTCAGGACAACTCAAGCCCCTCCTCCTCTCCTGTACATGAATGTGAGATGCTGCGCATGCAAGATGTGAGCCAAATGGCATATTGTAATCTTTTTATTGCTGGTTTTTATGTACGATGTCATGAAGATGTACGTTTGAAATGTTGCTTTGATAGCAAAATTGTATTCCTGTGTACATGTTGCTTTGACAGCAAAATTATGAAAATTTCTCAACAATGTATATGTGCAAAATTGTATTCTTTTGTACTGCGCGTGAAAAGGCTACAGCCAATTGACGATGACAACTGGGACCCATCTCACTAGTGGACCCTTCTTTTGGGAAAAAAAAGAAAAACTAAATTCATTTAGACAAAAAGGCCACAACCCAACAATAAAAAGGCTGCTGCAATATTGGGCTTGGCCCATGAACCCAACCAAAAATTGACAGACAAAAAAAAACACAAATAGGCTGAATTGTTGGGCTAGGCCCATGTAGAAAACCGAATTGGACCGGGCTGAATCTTGTGCCACATCAGCTTGCCACGCTGGATGCCTACGTGGCCTGGGGAGGTTGCTAGTGACCAAAACGTCACAGTAGGAATATTTTGGTCGTAAACATCCACGACCTTCTCACAGAGAAGGTCGCTATAGTCAGTTTACGACCGCCAGCTTTTGACCTTCTGTTTTTGGTCAAAAAAAGGTCGCAAATGAAAAACAATGACCTTTCAGTGACCAATAGTCAAGGTCACAAGTTCACATATTTCTTGTAGTGAATAGACACAGCATAGACGAGGGGATGGCACATGGGCATCAATGCCACGACGCACACACCGCGTGTTGCGGTCTTCAAGTATTACCGAGTTTCCATGTTTGCCAAGGGTCCTCGAGTCCTCGTGCCACCGAACCAACATAACACACGCGACACACGTATCGATCTCGATTTTGATCGGACGGCAATAAATGTCCACCAAGCAATATCGCATGGTTGATAACTTGATATCACAAACAGATAGGCCTTCGCTGGTGATGCTTACTGGTGAAATGCTCCTATCTTATTCAAAGAGAACATGATAAGTGATTGAATACGGGGGAGTAATGAATTTGTCGGCGAGCGTTGTTTGGCGTGTATGTCTTGAGTTGAGTGAGATAGCGGTCCAGAACACGATGATACACACGGCATTGACAAGGGGTGGCATATGGCATCGATGCCAGGACACACACGCCGCGTGTTGCGGTCTTCACGCATCGCCGAGTTTCCTCGAGTCATCGTGCCACCGAACCAACATGACACGCGCCGCACATGTGTCGATCCCAATCTCGATCGAACGGCTATCATTGCCTACCAAGCAATATCGCATGGTTGATAATATCACACATAGATAGGCCTTCGCTAGTGATGCTTACTGGTCAAATGCTTCTATCTTATTCAAAGAGAACATGATAAGTGATTGAATGCGGGGGAGTAATGAATCTGTCGGCGAGCGTTGTTTGGCGTGTATGTCTTGGGTTGAGCGAGATAGCGGTCCGGAACATGACGATACACATGGCATTGACAAGGGGGTGGCATACGGCATCAATGCCAGGACACGCACGCCGCGTGTCACAGTCTTCGGGTATCATCGGGTTTCCCTGTTTGCCAAGAGTCTTCGAGTCATCGCGCCACCGAACCAACATGACACACGCCACACACGTATCGATCTTGATTTTGATCGAACGGCAATCAATGTCCACCGAGCAATATCGCGTGGTTGATAACTTGATATCACAGACAGATAGGCCTTCGCTGGTGATGCTTACTTGTCAAATGCTCCTATCTTATTCAAAGAGAACATGACAAGTGATTGAATACTGGGGAGTGATGAATTTGTTGGTGAGCGTTGTTTGGCGTGTATATCTTGAGTTGAGCGAGATAGCGGTCCACGGCATTGACAAGGGGGTGGCATACCGCATCGATGCCAGGACACACATGCCGCGTGTTGAGGTCTTCACGCATCGCCGAGTTTCCATGTTTGCCAAGTGTCCTCGAGTCATCGCGCCACCGAACCAACGCGGCACACATCACACACGCGTCGATCTTGATCCTGAACGGATGGCTATCAATGTCGACCGAGCAATAACTATTTCTTACATGCAACGCTAGCTACTGATATATCACATGGTTGATATGACATACTTATAGGCACACACACAGATAGCATCGGTCGATCAGCGGCAATGTAGCTCCCGTTTGCAAGGCAGTGTGGCCCGGCATTGAGCGGGGCGCACACCCCATCTTTATCACCGAGCGGACATTTATTGGCCTTTGCTGGTGATGCTTACTGGTCAAATGCTCCTATCTTATTCAAAGAGAACATGATAAGTGATTGAATGCGGGTGATGAGTAATGAATCTGTCGGCGAGCGTTGTTTGGCGTGTATGTCTTGAGTTGAGCAAGATAGTGGTCCAGAAGACGACGATACACACGGCATAGACAAGGGGGGCGGCATATGGCATCAGTGCCAGGACACACACGCCGCGTGTTGCGGCCTTCACGCATCGTCGAGTTTCCATGTTTGCCAAGTGTCCTCGAGTCATCGCGTCACCGAACCAATATGACACGTGTCGCACACGCGTCGACCTTGATCTTGATCGGACGGCTAACAATGACGACCGAGCAACATCCCATGGTTGATAACTTGATATCACACACAGATAGGCACGCACAGAGATAGATAGAGAGCACCGATCGATCGATCAGCGGCAATGCTGGTCCCGATCTCAAGGACCAACCCGTGGTCCCACGCCCACCACGCCCAGGGCCCGGCCGCCGACGCGGGCGCTGCCCACCGTGAGAGCGGCGGCGGCGGCGCCTTCGCCCCGCCGTCGTTCCTGGCGCTCCTCTACCTCCTGGCGGGGCTCCTCGCCGTCTACCTACTCCACGCCGGCGCGCGCCGGCTCTACGCGTGCTGCGTCCCGTCGGCCTCGCCACCGCGGCAGCCTCCTCCTCCCCCCGCGCGGCCGCCGTGCCGGCGCGTGGACCCGGCCGAGGTGGCGGTGTCCCTGCCGGTGCGCGCCCACGAGGGCGACGGCGACGACGACGACGTGTGCGCGGTGTGCCTCACGGAGCTGCAGCTGCGGGAGAGCGTGAAGGCGATCCCGGCGTGCGGGCACGTGTTCCACCCGCCCTGCATCGACCGCTGGCTCCAGTCCCTCGCCGCCGCCGGCGCCGGCCACGCCTCCTGCCCGCTCTGCCGCCGCTCCGCCGCCGACCCCGTCGCCGACGACGACGACGGCCCGCTCAAGCCGCCCCAGCAGCAGCAGCAGCACGACGAGGAGGCGCCCGCGCCAGCGGCCGCCGCGTGACGCGCGGCGGCGGTCGGGCCGAGCTGCGTAGCGGCCACCACCAGTCCACCGCTCAGCTCGCTCATGGCGCGCGCACGTGTGCGTCCGCCAGTGCCGAAATACAGTCCAATAATTAGTGTACTCCGTCAGACAGTGCTGGTCTATCCCTGTGTATACTTTTCCTTCCATCAGTTGCTACTACTTGCTGCGTCGTATGACATGTCCGGTCGTGTTCGTCCATCCGATGTCCGTTTTATACCAACCTAAACGGACAAAAGCGTGCAAGATTTGGATCTGTGCGTTGGGGTTGTCCTAACTACTCCATGCGAGTCAAAAAGGAAGGCGGCGTATAACTTTTCTCTAAAGTCAAACGGCATAAAATTGAACCCAATTTATAGAAAAAATTATCAATAACTACAATACTGAACGGATACAGTATGAAAATATTTTATAATACTACTCCAATTTGAAATGAAAATGTTAAAACTTTACACTATTTGACTTGACACAAATTGTATAGGCCTTGTTATTGGCGTCAGAGGGGTGCGTCGACGCATACAAAATGTGATTAAGCACAAGGATAAATATTTACAACAAACATTAGCAAGGAAGAGGACTGGTCATACAACACAACACAACACAAGGATGTGGATGAAGTTAACAAGAATCTATTATATCATTTGGGTTGGGAGTATCTCATCTCATCTCATCTCAACTCATCTTGTGCTGTGGTGAGAGGGGGGCATAAATACAGCGAAAGAACTTTTACACTGGGTTGGGTCCCTTTCCCTGCTGCTGCTGCTACTACTAACAACTATTACTAACCCATGGTAAACTCTTTCACCAATCAATAACACGACGCAACGCACGCGCACGCTGCCGCCCTTCGCCGCCAGGTGCGGGCGGCAAGGCGGCGGTGGCGGCTGATATATATGTATGTAATGTGAATCCTGTAAGATGGTACACAGGAAGGCTACATGGGGAGACAGACCCAGAAAAGCTAAGGAAAACAAACAGTAAGATGAAAAAGAAGAAGCAGGGGTCTTGCTTCTCTCTTTTCCTCCCCAGTTTCGCAACCGAGCCTCCCGCGCCAAAACTTCCGACGACTGTTGTTGTATAATTTACAGCACCGCGTATGCCCGGACCACCTCCACGATCGGCGCCCGGCACAGCGGGCACTTGCCGCCGCTGCGCACCAGCTCGTTCGCGCATTTCGAGCACGTGCACATGTGCCCGCATCTGCCAACAGCAGCAAGAACAGGTCGATGCATATCAGGTGGTATGTTTAGCTACTTGTAAGAAGATGGGTGAGAGAACAGATGCAGAGTTTGTGTGCGCCGGGGTGCTGACCTGTAGAGTAGAGAATCGATTTGTGTGTCGCAGCATACGCAGCAGGTTCCTTTCCTCACCTGGTCCCATCTCGTTCCGTCATCGTGTAGATCCAGAAACATGCCTGAGAGACAAAAGGAAACGGTTATTTCAGTATATCAGAGCATTGCCTTCATTGAATTGCTTCAGAAATCGAATCATGTGGCAATATACTGAAACACAAACTGGAAGCATGCAAGTGTCTTCAATATCATCACTACTTGAAACTACATTAACAAACACATAAAAAGAACTTTCTAAGGTGTGGCCCTATCAGGCCTTGTTTGGTGTGAAATTAACATTATAGCATAACAGAAAACAGCAGTGTTATGAAGCCATGGGTATCTGAATATTTGATAAGGAGCAGGGTGAACAACCTTCAGGTCCCGGGAATCTACTCAAGGCTGCAGACACTTCTTGTCTCACTGAACGTTGCAACTCCAGTTGCATGTCCATGCACGCCTCCAACATCCTTTGCATGCTGCTCATCCCTTGTTGGAGTTTATTCATGTCAGCTTTCAAATCATTAATGGCGTCCAATTCCTGCAAGAGTACAGAGCCAAATGACATCCCCGGGATAAAACTTCTATAATCAACATAAGGAACACAGCTTAGTCAAGCAAAACGACAAAATATTACCACCCTTCCCGCTTTCAAAATTTTTACTTTACAATTTTACATCTCACAAGTTATGGAGTTAAAAGCAAATATAGTTTGACCAAAAGGAACAAGAGAAACAGAACACACACTTTTAAAGCTCTTATAGGCTTATACCAATGAGACATGGCATGTCACAAATTTACTCTTGGAGCAGAACACTAGTGGAAATACTACATCATATGGGAGAAACATATTCATAACAGATCGCCGAACCAAAACAACATTCCTATTTATACAAGAGAAGGTGAGGTGAGAAGGTAGCATACCTGATGTACCCTGTGTCTACTGCTCCAGGTGTTATGGCGCAAATCTCTGTGCCACAGTGGCTGCCGCGGTGGCAAAGGTGGTGGAGGGATAACAAGGGCAGGTCTGTTGGCAGGACCTTGGAATTGCCGATTTTCAGCATTTCTTACTAGTTCCTGGTTTCCATTTGGTGCATTCGCAGTGGGCATGGCTGTATCGAGATTCCAGTTGAGTGGGGCATGGCCACGTCGTTGAACATATGACCTTATTAATTGCTCCAAACTGTCACCAAAACCATTACTAAGAAGATTGGATACACTTCGCCTGGCAATTAAAAATTTGGAACAGGTGTTAAGAAATAAAAGGAGATGAAGAATCAACAAAGAATTTTTGGAAATGAAGTAAAAAATACCTGCTAAGTAATTCCCTCAGTTCCATGTTGTGCAAATTGGCTTCATCACGTAGGTTGAAGCTGTTTTCAATTCTAGGAATGGGCCCTGTGTCAAGTGCAGCATCATGGAAGTCATCATCTTGCCAGTTCTCCTCGGTGCCATGAGATTCGTCATCGTGCCACGCATCATGCTCATCTTGGAGATTTTCATTCTCCCTGTCATCATCCTCCGCGATTTCGCTGTGTAACTCCTCTGCATTATCTTCCCAATTTCTGTCAGAATTCTCTGCAGTTTCATTGGGCCACCTATCAAGCCTGACATCCAAAGATGGCTGCCAAAATATTGTCTCACGTTCTGCCTCAACTTGCAGCCCATTATCAACTTGAGACACTTGCATATCAACTATGTCACCCGATGTTGTAGCCGGTGACTCCGCCTCAGCAACATCTACGTTATCCTCCTGTAAACCCACATTCTCGGGCGTAGTTTGGGCCACATCCTCACTAACAGTAAGGTGCCCAACGTCAGCCCCCTGTTCAGTTTCATCATTACCAAGTAATGGAACATTTTCGGCGACAGGAGCATCAGACAGGCTAACATCTTGACTACTTACAGCACTCTCTGATCTGAAAGAAGCATGTTCAGTCACGCAGTCATTACATAAGAACAGAACATGATAAGAACAAAGGCAAGTGATAGGGGATGTCAATTGCATGAGCTGTTTTGATTGATGGTGTCACACAAAAAAGATCGAGAGCACAATCAACAAGGAAATCCAAGACTGTAAAAAAAACAGGAAAGCTAACACTGTAAGAAAAACAAGGAAATCTAATGTTGTCAGTTTTCTGAATAACAGGAGCACTTCAGCAACACAAAGGTCAGTAGAACAGCACTAAAGACAAAACTTAATGAGCAGGCACGGTACCAGCAGATAGTTGGTGTCACAACTAGAAAAAGGAAACATGTAGCACATGGATTCAGTTCAGGATCCTATCTTCCATTGTATGATATAGTCAATATGATTAAAACATTTCACAGTACCATCTAGGACCAATTTGGTTGGTGGACAGTCTCTAGCGTGTAGAACAAGAATGACTCGTTGTGGGAGGGACCAGCATAATTAGCACTTAGCAGTACTGGCACTTGGAACCTTACCCGTAATATCCCTACGAGGGAAAATGCTCATTGGTTCACCTAGTTTCAGTCCGGTCCATCAGATTACAGTAATTTTGAATGCTCCAGATAACAAAAGGAATTTAAGTTCAACAATACTAGAGAGTCTGCACGAAACGAATGACTTGACAACACTGGCCTTCTAAAGTTGGTAGCAACCTAGAGAGTCTCTCTTTAACACTAGCGAAATGGTTTGAACATTTTTACATGCGATGTTCAGTAAATCAGATAAAAGCTAATTCTGTATCATTTTATACAACTTCTTTGGCAAGCAAGTACTTGCAAGTGACAACCTAGAGCAGGATATCCACTACAATTTTTACGACAACAGATAAGATGGTGGCATTGTTCTTCCTCCCACGCGATTGGCATTCCTAACAGCTAATACTTGAAAACATACAAGATGCACTACACTCTAAAGCCTCCAAGGCAAGAATTGAACAGTTGCTTATAGGCATCTACTGATCAGCCCATAAAAGGTCAGGTAAAGCTCTGTCCCAATACCCCATGCACACAATGGAATTATGGAACAAGCCCTTAACCTCAAAAGAAAAAGATGTATGTGTAATCGGTACCAAATTTCAATACTTCCACAGCTACTCCCTCCGTTCGGAATTACTTGTCTCGGAAATGGATGTATCTAGAACTAAAATACGTCTAGATACATCCATTTTCGCGACAACTAAATCCGAACGGAGGGAGTGCTTAATAAATCTAGATTGTTTTGTTTGCCAAGGAAAACTACCGAGAGCAAAATGCTTGAGTAAGTTATTTCACATTTGTTCTCCAATAAAGTATGTTAAATGCACGGATACTATTACTATCACAGGTTGTAGATGTGTGGGTTTTCAAAAATATGGTACAGTGTGTAATAGGATGAACATCAGGTCATCTTCCAGACCAGAACACATGCACACAATATTTCTTCACTAATTGCAGTAGAAAACTCTAAATTAATAAGCTGAATAATATATGCTAATCACTGAGGCATTCAATAATGGGGGCTTTAAGCCCCATATGTTCGTTTGGATGCCAATAACTGACATTTCTGTATCACTGCAACTCAAGACAACTAGTAGCGATGCTATATAATACTCCCTCCGTCTGGAATTACTTGTCACGGAAATGGATAAAAATGGATGTATCTAAAACTAAAATACATCTAGATACATCCATTTCTTCGACAAGTATTTTCGGACGGAGGGAGTACCAAATAAGCAATGTGCCGGTAGCCTGAAGAACGTATACTATATAATACCGAGAAACAAGAAAAGTAAAGGACCACAGACAGACATTTGGTTGTGCATGTGGGGCATATGCTACATAATAGAAGAGAGTGGCAACTAGCAAGTAGCAACAAATATCTCTTCCAATAACCAGCGTTTTCATGGTGGAGAAGAATTCCATTGCACTACAATCTTAAAATGACTATGCCAGGCGTACTTGCATCCATGGATGAGATACGAATCAAAATAAAGCTACTACTATTACCGATGTGAGTTGCAATTGCAATGTCTGCTAACCTTAAGGTGGACACACGATGGCTCTGCCTCAACTGCCCGAGCTCCCTCGCCGCCACAGATGGCTGTCGCTCCTCTTCTGCTGGAGCCACCGCGTTCCTCAAGAACCTTACCCTAAGCAATCCCTGCAAAACCAGACAATTTTCAGACCGGCACCCTCGACATTTCTGATAGCTCATTCCTGTAATGCAACACGGTCAGCTTCACATCTCACCTGAATGCGGCTGCGGCTGCGCTGGGGGAACTGCGACACAATGTGGTATCCCGATAGCCCCTGCAGCTCGCGCTGACGCTCCCGGGACATCCGAGTGATGACATCGGTGCGCGCCTGCCGGCCACGGAGCCGGGGAGGCTCCCCTCGCCTCTCCCTCTCCGCGGCGGTCGGCTCCTCCCTGCGGGAGGCCGCGCGGGCGTCGCGCGGCTGGCTGGCCATCTGCACCCACTCCCTGACGAGCCTGACCCTCTGCCTCTCCGTCTCGCCGAGCCACTCCCCCGTGGCCGTGGCGGCCGCGGCCGTGGGGCTGTCCGTGGAGGTGGTGAGGCGGCGGGCGATCTGGCGCACGCGCTCGCGGTGGCGGTCGGGCGTGTCCGGGGACGGCTCGCGGTCGAAGGGCTGGCCGGCGTCGGCGCGGCGGTGCTCGAGCTCCCGCCACATCTGGAGCAGGGAGGAGGGCGCGGCGGGCGAGGGCGCCTGAGGGCGCGGCGGCGGGGGCGAGGAGAGGAGGAACGCGGAGGGGTCGAGGGTGGAGACCGGGTGGAGCCGGGTGAGCGCGAGGAGCTCCGACTCGCGGTTCCGCCGCTCCACCTCGCGCTCCATGGAGGAGAGCACCTCCTCCGCCTGCCGCGCGACCCAGCGGCTGAGCAGCCGCGACTCGCGCCGCCGCCGCCGCGACGACTCGGCCTCCTCCTCGCCGGCCCCGCCGACGCCTCCGCCGCCCTCGGCGCCTCCCCCGCCGCCGCCGCCCGCCGCGGAGCAGAGCGACGAGGACGAGGAGGGCGGCGGCGAGTAGCAGCCGCCGAGGTGGTCGCAGACGAGGTCCTCCAGGTCGCGCCGGAAGTCGGCCGCCGCGGCGCCCATCCGGTGGTGGTACTCGTCCACCATGGCCTCCTCCGCCTCCTCCTACCGCTATCCCTAATTACCCTACAAGAAGCAAAAAGCTACCTCCTTTCGAAATCAATCAACCAATCAACCCTCCCCCAACAACAAAAATGGTGGGCGCTAATGGCGCGGCGGATTGGGCAACGCGCGGGCGATCGCGGAGCATTTGCGGGGCGATTGGAGGGGTAATTTTGGGCGGATTGGACGGATGGCGCGGAGGAGGAGACGGAGGAGGGAGGGAGGAAGGAAGGGGAGAGGATTACCGGAGGAAGAAGAAGCGGCGATTTATTTATTTTTGGCCATTTTTATCGAAAGGCGTTGCCTATTTTTGATAGGGCCACACCACACACGCCGCTCTCTCACCACCCACCACTGTTGCAATTGCCTTCTTTCACAATTTCAGCCTAGGGGAGGGGGATGTTTTGTGTGGGAGGAGGCCTGGCCTTTTTGCACTCCTAGGGTACCCGGGGGTTATATATCGGGTCCGTCGAGACCGCGATCCGCGTGCGTCGTTCTGCTGGCGGACGGCCGGGATTCTGTGCTCGCGGAGAAACAGGGGATCGTCGAATCTCGGCCGTAGGTTGTATCGGTTGCCGTGTAGAGTACGGCGGCAACTGGTTCGGGTCGCTGTAATCCTGCCGTAGATTTCACGAGGGGTGGTGTACCCTTTTAATGCCATAAATTGTATAATATTGATTATGGGTGGTATCTGTTGCAATACAGAGCATGACAGCTCGGCTCGTATCGTTGTAATTGTGGCGTAGATTTGACGCGGGATTTTCTACCCTTTAAATGCCATAAATTACAGGGTCTATACTTTATATAGTACCGACTGTCATATGGACCATGGCAGCCTGGTTCGTATCTCTGTTTTCTTGCCGTAGATTTCACGCGGAATGTTCTGCCCTTTAAATGCCATAAATTATCGTTTTCTGCACTCTAGGTGGTATCAGCTACAATACATGCCATGATAGTTGGGGTTCATATTGTTGTAATCTTACAATAGATTTCACGCGGGGTGTTCTACCGTAATTTAGGTTTTTCTGCACTCTAGATGGTATCAACAACAATACAGACCATGACAACCAGGTTCACATCGTTGTAATCTCGCGGTGGATTTCACACGAGATGTTCTAACCTTGAAATGCGATAATTTATTGGTATTGTGCACTCTAGGTGGTATAGTCTGTCGTACAAACCATGATAGCTAGGTTCGTACCGTTGCAATCTCACTCTTTGTCATGCATTTCACGTGTCGCTTGATTTCTGTACTCTAGGTGGTATCAGCAGTCGTACAGACTACGCCAACTAGCTTCGTATCGATGTAATCTTGCCCTAGATTTCACGGGCGGTCTTTTCCCTTCTTAAATGTCAAAAATTCCATAATGTTGAATTTGCATGGTACCAGCTGCGACACGGATCATGATAGATATGCATGCATCGTCGTAATCTTCGCCGTACATTTCACGCAAGTTTCTATCTCTAGTCTCGGCTCCATGTGGTATAGGGTGGATACGGATCATGGGCGACTAGCTACATACGAAGCGAAACCTTGCCACGAGCCGCCCAACCCAGGAGCAAAACACCGGGGATGTGTTAGGGCGAAAAATCGGGACGTGGGGGTACAATTTCCGGCTTCCCTTCTGGCCCAGCCTGGCCGGACGCGGCTTAACTACTAATCCGTGTAGTCCCACCACCCGTGGTTGACGACAACTATATGTGTTTTTGTTTCATTCCATCGTCGTTGTGCATGTAATTTTCACGCGGATAATCTCGGCGTTGTGGGCCATATATAGGACATTACAAGGCTCACGTTTCATAAAAAAAGGAGATTATGCTCTAGCTCAAAAAAATGCTCGAACCTCAATGATTGAAATATTTTTGTTGATAGCTTACCATTTGGTAAAAAACGATCAAGATGCTTTTTTTTCTTTTGACATCAGTCGGATGGAGGTGCTTGGAGCTATGTCCTTGCATCTTCTAAGGTTTGTGCATAACTCTCACGTGAGATAAAAAAAATGAGACCGACCCAAGGGTTAATCCTCGTTGGCATTTTTTTATAGGAGAAACTTCGTGAACACCGTGCATCCAAGGCAGGACTTGAACATGGGTGGGTTGGTAGCAACCCATCTAACCAGCCAACGGGTCGACGCCCCGCCCTCCTCATGTGAGATTTTTCTTGTATGCTTTTTTGTGCATGCGTGTGGTTTTCGCTGACGGAGCAAGCACGCAGATGGTTGTCCACGCGAGCTCCAAACCAGGTTGTACTAACAACTATCGAAATCCTTGCAATCCGGACCGTCGGCTCGGAGTGGTAATCTCGGATCGACGCGGTGTATATATACCCCGGGCCGGGTCCACCTCCCAGCGTGGGCGTAGGCTGATCCCCCGTGGGGGGGGGCCCACCTCCGCCCTGCTCGGGATGAGACGAACCGCAACCGGATAGAGAGCGAGAGACAGACGTGCGGTGCATTCCCGTCCCGCCCAGCCCACCCCACCCGACGAACGGAACGGCAACGGGGTGGGGGTGGGTGCCGTGCCGCGGTGTGGTGTGGCGGGGGACGCCGAGCCTGCTTGCTTTCCGTGACGTCGCATCACGCGTGGGGGGCCGCCGGTGACACGTGGGATTTGTCTCTTGCTCGCCGCTCTGCCTGCCTGGCCCCTCAGATATCATATGCCCCCGTGCCGTACCCATCCGCGTAACTCCACTGCCTCCGTCAACTCGCGTCCACGCAAAAAAACTCGACTTTTATTTTTTGCGACAAGAGTGTTCACCTGTCTATGCCTGCATCCTGGGTTCCGGAACCTTTTTACAATACACTTCTTCCGATCTTAAAAAATAAGTGTCTCAACCTCGCACCAACTTTAATACAGAGTAATATCAAAATCGAGAAAACTTAGGTTCCATTTGCCATGTCATCGCAGTAAAAAGAACACATGAATACATCAAGGATCCTGCACCACAGACCAACCACCACGGGGCCTAGGCAGAGATAACCTTATTTTATATTTACTACAAAGATTCATAATAAAAACTGCATAGCACCCAAAAACATAATAAAAATACACCAAGGATCCTGCACCACAGACCAACCACCACGGTTGCCGGACGAGCCGCCGATGTGTCGTTGTCGTGCTCCCCTATCGGAGCCTGCGTAACCTTATCGGAGCCCGCTTCCTTATCTTTGTTGAAAGGGAAGACAAGAGTTATGAGTATAAGATGGACTTAATCAAAACTAGTTAATTGATCGTGCATTTACAACAGGGGGTGCATATTTTAGTGGTTCAACACCAATAGTGACATATTCCTCACATCCACCACATTCTAGGGCTGGTAAATTTTATTTGATTTTGGTGTAGATAGGAACGCGAGGAAAGCTTTAATTTATTCGATGTTTTGGTAACATCTAATTTAATTTGGTTGATTTAATGCAAGACGTAGGGGGGTGGCGTACGTGCAGGAGGGACAAAACCAAACGGGGGAGGAACAGGGATGACAGCGAACGTATAGCGACCAACATTCTCATAATTAATCGAAAATTGCTGGGGGTTTTTTTGAGCGAGATCAGATGGCCATTTTTAGCTGGGACGAAACAACGAGAGAAGATTTGTCGTATGCGGGTGTGGAGGCATCGACCCCATTTTTCTTTTCTCTTTAATTATAAAATCTTTTGAACTAAACGTTTCGAATTAATTTTTGTTTGCATATTTGTGTTCCTCGTGACGAGGGCTTTGAAATAAGACCACTCTTGAATATGTTTTAACAACCTCATCCAGTTTCAACTGTTAAAACTGTGAAAACTAAAACTTGAACTTTCTGGCGGGGTAAAAGAGAGTTTTATTTCAGTATTATAGAGGTACAGCCTAGAGCCAAGAGTTCCTCGATACACGGGGGGGCTCTGTAGAAAACAATTGTGGTACACCCTGAATGTCTATACATAGGGAAAGAATCTTCTACTCTAATTTTCCGAGGAATAAACTCTTGATCTACCAGTAAAATTCTGATCTCCAAAGCCAAGTGTCCGTACGCAGAACTTTTCAGTGAATCCCCGGCAACTGTAGATAGGGCCGCCAACCAATGGCAAAATCACCAAGTCTCACAAGCCAAAACTTAAAACTTGATGCGTCCTCATGCGAAATCCATCGATTTTGCGGATCACGAAGCGATCGTGTGACACGGGATGACTGAACATGTATGAGTACATGCCTCCGCATCTGCGTGCTCCTGCGAATTTCCGCGCAATCACCGTTGCATTGCATCTAGAATGTTAGCCGCGGAGAAACTCTCTGCTGCGCTTTTGTGTACCTGTATAAGGTTGTCTGTTCTATAAAGCTAAGGTACGCAATTGCGTATCCTCCAAAAAAATAAGGTTGTCTGTCCCCTGGCTACCACGTAGGCACGGACGGACCGACGGACGGGACCTAGCTGCCGGCATTCATGGCTAGCGCCACACGACACGAGCCCTGTGAGCCACGGCAAACGAGCACAAAATAAGTAAACCACCCACTTATCCAGCCAGCCGGCCGGCCTGTGCAGTCATCGTATCATCACGTGACACGGCATCGAGGATTTGTCTTTAACCATATCGGCCGGTGCAACCAAAGCCTTCCAGCTCGCTCGTCGTGTATAATAAATTAATAATCCGGCTTTTGCGCCACGCGTCCACGTATGAACTCAGCGTTCGCTCCTTAATCTGTACAACAAATGATCGAAGGATAGTCACACATGCGTCTGCGTATGGACGGTGCCAGAAATGTTGCTCCAGAGAGCGAAGTCGGAGCTGGGCGAGCGCAGCGGCGACGATGCCATGTCACAGGGCAGCTCGGAGCCTGATGGTGATAGTCGTGGCTCCTTTTTTTTCTCCTGCAAAAGCTCGCCATCAAAGTCGGGGCTGCCTGGTCCTCGACGCGTTGTTGCCGTTTGTTTGGCATGTACAGGCTCTCAGGATTCCCATGCTTCGCTTTGTCTAATAAGGGTTCTTGATTGGTCGTCCGTCCACGGT